TAATGTATTATTTACTATCTTTTTGTATTCTATAATCAAATATAATTATATTTTATTAATTATTTAATACAAAATTGTAAGCAAAACCTAAACAAGCTATTCAAATGCTTGTAATGACTGGTATAAATTGTAAGAGGATACTATACTGTTAAAATTTGATAAGTATATTCTAACATTATTATTTCAGGAGGTATGTTATAATCACTTGTATATCTTGACAATATGTACAATCATAATTAATATCAGTAATTTTAATAACTATTCTGAATTCTTGCTTTACTTTTAGTAAATTATAATTGACTTGTGAAAACCACTATCTAAGTTATTATCACTTTTACAAAATTTACAAAAAGTAAAAAATATACTAGGTTATAATCTAATACAACTGTTAAGACTTTTTCGTGATGTGCTTGCACAGAGCCATTCGATCGACGGAAGGTTCGTAGCGCTGAGCTCCCGTGCTTGAAAACAATTAAACAAACGCCAGACCTGGTAATATTTCGTCGGTCTCCAATTATCCTCGGATTAGGCTATTGGAGAACGTACACTTCTTGTGCGCACCAACCGTATGTTTCGTGGGTTTCTATGTGAGTTGCGGTGAATAACTGACAGTCACTGTGCCTCCTTCATGTATCTGACTGTAAGTAACTGGAACCTTACAATCTTAATACGTCAATGCAGAGAGATTCTAGATAGCGGCCGGTCTGCTGCTGAAACTGACAAAGCATCGCGCTCAGAATAACACCGGCGTCCCTTTGATATGACTCAAATTCTCCCATAAACTGCTATCTCCGTCAAATCCAGTGCACATATGGGCCGCTCAAACGTCCACGCCACGAGAACAAATTACACTGTAAACTTCGATTGTTCGGGAATTGCCAAACAAGGGAACGTATAGATTACTGTAGACCTATGATAGAGGTAACGCAAAATCGAGAGTTGCAGGGCCAGAAGGTCCCAGGTTCGAGTGACATAAGGCATATCAGCTGTTACACAAATTTTGTGTGCATGTAACTCTGTTGGCCCCTGCTGCCAGAGTAAGACCATAATAAAATTATGCAACAAGCCATACAATACTCATTTGTAACGTAACTAAAGGTACGTAACAATTCAATTGTGTCGGTTACCTCTATAATAGGTTTACAGTAAGGTCAAGTGTTTATTTCCGAATTCTGCGGACATTGTTCAATACTTTTGCTTCTTAGGCGTTTCATCTGATTACCTGCCAGATACTTACTGTAAGCTTTAAAAACCGTTCGAGGAGTCGATTCCCTTTGACTCAGTTACGCTGTTTGTCGCACCCCGATTATCGATAAGCTGCTCCCTCTACGCGAGAAGAACTCCTGTGTATACGTGAAACGGGAGGAAGACGCAATGAACAACGGTTATGAAGCACAAAGAGCTACATCTGAGTGAGTATTTCCCATATGAGTCATTCTGGAAATACATTGAAATGGCACGATTGTCAAACGACTCATAGCCCGAGACCCACCTCCAGTTTGATGGCGCAAAACCAACGAAAAGGGACAGCTATGCTTGACCCAAATTTCGTGTTTCCCGTTCGCGATCTCGAGAGTGCTCGTGTCAAGTTGACACCATTCGACGTGCGCATTTCTTCGTTTCATTCGGCAGTGGTTATTAACGATGGGTGATGTTGGGTATTTTTGCGCCGCTTCGTTTTGATGAACTACACGATCTTAGCCTCTCTTGCACGGAGAGGAATACTTTCAGAAAAGCAAAGAAGTTCCAGAGATATACAAACTCTACCATTCCGGTCCGTTCAACTCAAGAGAGGAATTTTTCGACGAATATATCGAGGAAAGGATTCAGAAAGATCCAAATTCAGTCCTATTTGCTATCTTGGATAAAACTAGTGAGTATTTCATTTTAAGTATCGAAGAACAAGAAATCAACTAATCTCGCTGCCAGAGGGCACTCCACGTCTCGCGGGGACTATCGGCCTCTTGAACACCAAACTAGTGAATCAGAGTACAGAGATCGGAACCATTGTCGTCTTCCCCGAATTCCAGAAAACGCACGTAACATCCAACGCGATCGGCCTCCTTCTACACTATTGCCTCGAACTTCCTGCCGAACACGCCAAAGGCGAACTCAAGTATGGTCCGGGCCTCGGATTGCGACGCGTGCAGTGGACAGCACATGGGGAGAATACCCAGTCTGTTCGTACTGCGGAGCGCATGGGATTCCGAAAGGAGGGTTTGATGCGCTGGGATAGACCATTGAGAGAAGGAAAGATCGGATTGCACGTATCTCCTGAGCGTGCGGCCGTTCGTGCGGGCGTCGGAATACATATCTGGATGTTGTCGTTGTGCTGGGATGATTGGGAACTTGATGGAACTTGCGCGGCCGTGCAGCAGCAGATGGATCGTTAATGAGCTGCATTACTTGTAGACCGTGGCTACATTTTTTTAAACTTGGGAATAGATCGCTCTCCGAATTCCTGGATGAATAGATTAATTTTTTTTACGAGTTCGATGGCCATTGTAAGAGGCCAAGGAGTATTTTCCCGGTGCTATTATCTGCACACCAATTTATCGAACAAAGCATTGCCTCTTCTTCTAGTATCATTAATTACGTATTAACGTGCACAGCCACATTATAGAGTTTGCAGAAAGTATCCAGCAATGGACATTAACCATGTTCACTACACATTGAGTTTTCTTGTTCTAATCCTTTACTTATTTTGTGATACTTCCTGGCATGGGATGGCATACAACCATGGGTATTCTACTTAAGGATCTCTTCTTGAGGTCTAGATAATACCCTCACAACACCGAATAAATGGCAACCTGCGGGATCAATGTCAACGACAACACTTCAACAGAGTGATTTCCCACTCTTCCCATCATCATCATCATGCTTGCTGCCGCTGCGGTCGCCCACTATTCTCTAGACGGTGTGTCTCCTACTTGCTTAATCGCCCGTCGTCTGATGTTTTGCCCAGTTCAGCGCGTGACAGACGTCCGGCACAGGTCAAGGTCGCACAGCTTCTACGTCAAAATAGAGTGTGATGGCAGAACGTTGGGTGACTATCAAATTAAGGACGACGGATCGTCTATCTCGTTTGGTATTCTTACTTTGTGAGAGTACATTGTGCTTTTATTTTGTCACTCTAATTGATTTTGCAGCTCATCAACGGACAACTCACCTATTCTTGGAATACGTGTCGTTAAGAGGGAGAGGGTGTTACGGATCAAGACCGAGGTCGGCTGCGTCAATGTCCGGCTTGTGGACCTGTGGAACAAATGCACTGATACTGAGGGTGCGCTTCGACATTTCTACTTTGCCTGTGCCCGTATTTATTTGTGTACAGCCCCAGTTGAAGTGGACGTCTTATCTTCATCTGGGCTGACTGCATCTCATTTGTGCTCTGTATACTTGTTTCTCGAAAGGATAGATGAAACTAAGCGTGCCGAAATCGACGTTCAATGCGTACCGCAGAATATAGAGCGAATTGAATTGTCTGCAAAAATCGCAGACTCCGCGGACGCGGTTGGATCGGTTGTTGAAGTGGTAGACAGGATTGTTGAAGCTATTAGTCATGTTGTAGAAAATGTACGTCTGGTGCTGTACTTATTGATGATTGCTTACAATGTTCATTTGGTAGATTCATCCGTACCTGAACCTTGCATGGAAAGCGACCACCGCTCTGTACAGAGTACATCTCTTATTCGCATTGCCTTTCGTAAAACCATGCTGATCTGATACACGTAGATTGTTTCTCATCAATGGGAAACAGACAAGAAGCTGATTGATTTAGTCGATGTCATGATGAGAGCTTACGAATTCGCAAAGGATGTGAAAACTCTTGGTGACGGGGCCAAGAAGCTGACAGAACCTACTGATAGACTACTAAGACACACTATCGCCGTCTGCTTTTTTGTGAAAGAATATACGTCACGGAGTTTCATAGGTTAGTATCAATTTATCTCGACCCTGTAACTACTGAACTTGCTTGTTAGAGAGAATTTTAAGGATAGCTAGTCGACAAAAGGTGGACAAATACAAGGAGGGCTTCATTGTTCTCAGGCGGGATCTGGACGCGTACCTTGCTGTACATACTGCTTCTACTGCAGGTTATATACGAGACAAGGTCGAAAAGGCCTATGATATCGGTGCGTGTCCACTAAGTAATGTAGACCGATTTCAAGCTGAAGACGGTGCGGCAGGGATGCGGCAGCAATTTCAGGTACAAGAGCAGCGACTTCAAGAACTCAAGGAGTTACTGGAGCCGATCAGGTCCGACGTTTTTAACCTTGCTCGCTGCCTCCCGAACACGCGTATGGAATATCTAAGAAAAATCAAGGACTGGTTATTCTCACCTCCTGAGGAGAATATCCTCTGGCTCAACGGGATCGCCGGTTCTGGGAAGAGCACCATCGCTGCTTCCATCACGGACCATTGTGATGATGAATCCTGCCTTGCGGCATTTCTTTTCTTCGAACGAGGGAAGGAGGAGCATCGGTCTATTATACGGACCATTGCTTATCAGCTGGCAGCGTTCGAGCCATCCCTTGCATCGCATATAATACCTGCTGCCAAGCGGCTCAAGAGTTCTTCGCCTGCTCGACAGTTCGAAAAGCTTCTTTTGAATCCACTCAGGTCTGTTAAAGACGTCAAAGGTCCGATAATCATCATTATCGATGCACTAGACGAGTGCGGCACTGCGGAGCAACGGCGGGAGATCCTGGAGTTGCTCAAAGTCAACTTCGCAAATCTGCCATTGGACGTCCGGTTCTTCATTACAAGTCGACCTGAAAACGACATTCTCAGGTCACTCGCATCACGGCCACATATACGTGAACTTAAGCTTGATCCCGCCTCGACGGAAAGTCGGCGCGATGTACTTGCTTACATCGACAATGCAATGCTCAAGGCGGTTGCTGATCCGGTTCCGGACGGGTTCGCATGGACCGTTAAGATGAACATACTCGGTCGTGCAGCGGACGGGTTATTCATCTGGGCGTCGACCGCGGTTAAAATGGTGATGAACAGTGATGATCCATTTGGAAAGCTTGACGGGCTCGTCTCCAATGTACATTCGCTCAACGGTCTCGACAATTTGTACGCTACTGTGCTTGAGCAGTCGGGAATTTCATGGGAGGACCCTAAATCTGTCGAACGATTCGGGAAGGTCCTCGGTCTTATTCTTTTCGGAAAAATAACTCTTTCGGAGGACGATGTCGACAAGTTCTTGGGCATCGGACAGGGGAAGTCACGGCTGACCCTCCAGAATCTGCGATCTGTTCTCTTTTATGAGCCTGGGCAGTCCATTCGTCTCCACCACACATCTTTTGCTGACTACCTTTTGTCGCGCGATCGGTCCGGTAATCGTCAATGGTTCATTGATGCCAATAGTCAAAGACGTACAATTGCCTTGAGATGCCTCACAATAATGAGCGAGTTACTACATCTCAACATCTGCAATCTTGAGACGCCCGCTATAAAAAACGATGATATTCCCGGACTCGAGGGACGCGTCGCAAGATATATACCGAGACAACTTTCATATGCATGCCTATTCTGGTCTGAGCATCTCTGTGACTTACCGAATTCTGAAGATATGGTAACCGCTCTGCAAAAATTCGCATACCGTAACCTTTTGTACTGGTTTGAGGTCCTTAGCTTGACAAACCACTTCACTCGCTTTGCCTGTCGTGCACTCATGGACGCTGTTTTATGGTTTCCTGTAAGTACTCGTTACGTCCTGCATGGTTTAATGTTGATTTGCACCTAGTTGGGTGAAACCGAAACTTCATCATTTCTATGGGACGCGTACAAACTGGCTACCGTCTTTTCATATCCAATTGCACAGAGTGCTCCTCACATCTACCTTTCTATGCTATCCCTCTCGGAGGACGAATCAGCGGTAACCAAGCATTATCGTCGGACCCATCCCACCATACATTTCACCCATTATGGGATTAAACCGCCGAACCCATGCCTCAAGATTTTGAGTAAAGGTCCATTTGCAGGTTTCTCTGTTGCTTTCTCACCTGACGGAAGGCGTGTCTGTGGTTCTTACCGTCGCAGAATTCGAATTTGGAACGCAGACAGTGGAGAAGTAATCACGGTCCCGTCCGAAGAACATGGAACTCATGTTTTTGCGGTGGCATTCTCACCCGATGGGAAACTCGTTGTCTCTGGCTGTCGAGACGGTACAATTAGAATTTGGGATGCTGAAAGTGGTAAAACGGTCACAAACCCGTCTGAAAAGCATAATGATGCTATATGCTCGGTCGCGTTCTCACTGTGTGGGAAGCACATAGTTACTGGCTCTGATGACTGCACCATTCGAATTTGGGATGTAAAATGTGGGCGGGTTGTGAAATTACTCAATGGACACGATGCTGGTGTCACCTCTGTATCTTTCTCGCCTGACGGTCAACGCGTCGTCTCCGGCTCTCGTGATTGCACCATTCGGATATGGGATGCAGAAAGCGGTGAAGTCGTCGAGGCGTTTAGAGGGCATAGCTACGGTGTTCTTTCAGTTGCTTTCTCTCCCAATGGAGATCGCATCGCCTCTGGGTCTGAAGATTGTGCAATTCAAATCTGGGACGTTCAGACAGGGGAAAGGGTTGCAGGACCTTTCGAGGGCCATGGAGGATCAGTTGCGTCAGTCGCGTTTTCGCCCGACGGGAAACGTGTGGCCTCTGGCTCTGGTGACAAGACAATTCGAATTTGGGACGCGGAAAGTGGCAAATGTCTTGCGGGCCCATTTGAAGGGCACACGGGAAACGTCATGTCAGTCGCTTTCTCTCCTGATGGGAAGCGTATTGTGTCTAGCTCTAGTGATAATACAATTCGGATTTGGCATGCAGAACTCGGAAAGGTTCCTACAAGTTCGCTTGAGTGGCGGAGACTGCCTATCAGCTCAGTCTCTCTTTCGCCCGATGGCGTGCATGTTGCCACTGGCTGTGAAGACGGCAAGATTTGGATTTGGGATGGAGATGTGGGACAGACTGTTGCGGGACCGTTTGAAGTGCATACAGACAGAATCCACTGGATTGCTTTCACACGTGAAGGAAAACGTGTTGTCTCTTTCTCTAACGATAACACGCTTTGGTTCTTGAATGTAGAAAGCGGAGAGGCCGCCGTGGAGCCGTTTACACCACGCCCAATCTCTGTCCAAAAAATATTTGCACTGTCGCCAGACGGAAAAAGTGTTGCTGCAGCTTGCGATGATGGCACAATTCGGATCTCGGGCGGTGGCATCATCGAAGGGCCGTTCGGATTTCGCCTCGAGTGGGATGAAAAGGGCGAGTTTGTGCTTCTACCGAGCGGAGAATACGTCGCTGGAGGTTCCGGTCGTGCTACAACTCGTGACTACAAACCAGTTATAGCAAATGGCGAGATACCTATATCGCTAGCTTTCTCGCCAGATGGAAGACGCCTCGTCTCTGGCTCTAATCGCGGCAAGATTGTGGTTTTGGACATTCAAACCGGGACGGTCGTCGCGGCTCCATTTGTTGGCCATCAGAGTTCCGTCGACTCTGTTGTTTTCTTGTCTGACATTCAGTACATTGCTTCTGCGTCTAAGGATGGGACATTTCGAATTTGGGATGTCAAAAATAATAATGTCGTTGCAGGACCAGTCAAAGTGTATGAGCCTTGCAAAACCAACTCAATTTCGTTCTCGCCTGATGGAGAGCGCGTCGCGTTTGGAAGTTTCAGTGGCTCAATTCGGATTTGGGACGTGCGAAGCGGGGAGGCCATCACAGAACTAGTTGGAGGCCATGGAGGGAGCATTACTTTGCTTGCATTCTCGCTTGATGGAAAGCGTGTCCTCTCCCAATCCTTTGATGACATAATTCGAATATGGAACATCGAAGCAGGTGAGCACGAATCAAGTCTTCTAGAACTACATAGACGGCTATTGTACCCTATTTTAGAGTTGCAGGCATTGTACAAGTCAGAAATCGCTGAAGGAGTAGCAACGTCATTTGACAGGCCTTCTGATAGCTGGCACCTGTCTGAGGATGGCTGGGTCCTTGGCAAAGGTGGTGAATTGCTTACATGGATCCCAGCAGATTTGCGAAATACGCTCTGGCGGCCTCGCACTACGGCCATACTTAATTGTCAGTTTTCTACGAGATTAGACTTCGCGAAGTCGCTGCTGGGGAAAGACTGGACAAAGGGTTATGTGCCTCGTAAATTTCGATGATACTTCACTCGACTTAGGACGCGTAAATAGTTTAATATTTTATTCCTATTTATTTATAGGCCTGTACATGCATCTCGGGCTGCCCTTCTCTGACCTCAGTCTCCAACAGGAATATTATTTAGTGTGATAAGATATATAATCATTCTGAATTAGAATGACAGGATAGCCAATGGTGAAGTGTCATCTTGTGGCCAGTCAGAGTGTAGGCATCTAGCCAATGGTACATGCTGAGACGCCTGTATGTGTGTGAAGTTGAAGACCTTTGCACCATAAGTAACAGCATCGCCCTCGATTGGATCTTCGGCTTTACCAATTTTGGCGGTATGTAAAAAGTCGTTGCTTCTGCCATACACTGTTCCCTCCTACTGCCTAGTTGTAGCGTCTAAACAGTCATCAGGTCTGCAAAAAGACGTCGCCCTTTAATTGCTCTCGGCTAGAGTTCATTGGACTTCTGGGGCGTACTAGCTGAGGTTCGCTCGCTCGTTACTATTTGAGTTACACCGAATAACAAACCATATGGGTAGTGCACTCATTTAGACTTACTCAAGGGTCCTACCGGTAGCTTCGCAAGCTTCATTCTATGTAGAAATATTTGAGCTGCGGCGGGAATAGTGCCAGATGTGATAAAGTTAGCGATCAGAACAAGGTCAGCGGCCCTTTAGCACGAGTCATTCCAACATCGCTTGAAATGACCGGATTATCGCGACACTCCTTGCTCAAAGTCCATTATTCACCTGATGGTTCAAGACGAGCAGGAAATGTCGTCCTCACTCGATCCGAACTTCGTGTTTCCGGTTCGCGATCTCGAGAGTGCCCGGGTCAAGTTGACGTTATTCGATGTGCGTCTCTTTCATCATGATCTTTGGCCTTTATCAACTAATAACCATGTTGATTATTTCTGGGATTCTTCGTTTAACGGGCGGGATAATCTATAGCCTCTCTTGCACGGGAAGGAATATTTCCAGAAAACCGAAGAAGCCCCAGAACTGTACAAATACTATCCGTCTGGTCCATTCAATTCATACGAGGACTTCATCGACGAATATATCGAAGGGAAGATCCAGAAAGACACAAATGCAGTCCTGTTCGCCATCTTAGACAAAACTAGTAAGTATTTCATTGCACATTCCAAAGAACGAAACATCCATTAAGCTCGTTACCAGAGGCTACCCCACGTCTCGCAGGAACTATCGGCCTCTTGAATACCAAAGTGATGAATCAAAGCACAGAGATCGGATTCATTGTCATCCTTCCCGAGTTCCAGAGAACACATGTCACATCCAACGCTGTCGGACTTCTCCTACATTATTGCCTCGAGCTTCCTGCTGAGCACGCCAAAGGTGAACTCAAGTACGGTCCGGGTCTCGGGTTGCGACGTGTGCAGTGGCAAACTCATGGAGATAATGCCCAGTCTGTTCGTTCTGCAGAGCGTATGGGATTCCGAAGAGAGGGTTTGATTCGCTGGGATAGACCATTGAAAGAAGGAAAGGTTGGAGTACCTGTCCCTCCGGAGCGTGCTGCCCTCCGTGCAGGCGCTGGAAGGCATTCTTGGATGCTGTCGTTGTGCTGGGATGACTGGGAGCTTGATGGAGTTCGCGAGGTCGTGCAGCAACAGATGGATCGTAAATAAGATGCTTTAGTTAATGATTGGTAGCCAAATTTTTAACTCGGAAAAAGATTGCTTTCCGGAGTCCAAAATCAATAAATGAGAAATAATGTTTTCGTCCTCAGCGGCTATTATAATTCAAGCCAAAGCAACAAGTCGTTTTAGTATTACTAATGACCGTGCAATTTCGTATTTTTCAGTGTTGTGTATTAGAGTATTTGTGCATGTATCTTTGTTCGTCTTGAGCAATGTATTTCTCGACAGGTATTTAGTCTCGAGATCAAGCCTTTGATAAATTTACTTTCGTGCTTGATGAGATCTTCAGTCCATATATTACGTGTTTACTGGCACGGCTTCTTAAAGCCCTACTATATTAGAATATACAGTAAGTCACTGATATGAATATTAATTAACATGATAAGCAAAAGCTAGAGCAAAATGAAATCGATACCAACGGTGACGGCAGCTTCCAGACCCTTCAGGAATATAAAACCTATCGTGAGGATAAAAATTAAGAAAAAACATGAGGAAAACACGATCCGCCGAAAAGTCAGGGGCGACGTGGCACTGGCAGGCAAGCGGCACGCGACCAAATAAGGACAAGGCACGTCGTCTCGTGTCCTCCTCATTCCGTTTCACTGACGTTTGTCCGACCGACGTTCGTCTCTTTCTCCACTTCTAACCGTCGCTCTTTTCTCCCTCTTTACGTCTAACTACTGAGGGTGGCCGGCGAGTGATGGCAAAACGGAAGGCGGCGAATGGCGCTGCGAAGGGTGGTGGCGACGCGTCGGCGCTAGCGGCTGCATCGGCATCGACTTCTACGAAGGACTCAAGCGTGACTGAAGACGTAAATGCAGCAGCCAAAGATGCTGCTGCGACGACAGCAGGAGGGAATAGCGGGTCGAGCCGTGTGGATATCCTTGCTGCGAGTGCAGCCTTGACGGACCGCGAACCTATCAAGGTGAATAATATGAACGCGACAGATTTGAAGAATGCGTGTGATGATGCCGTAAAGCGGGTGAGTCCGACTCCAACTTCCCCTGCACCTGCGCTCCGTGTTGATGAATGCCATGCCGTGATTATATAGCTACTATCACAACCAAATCTATTCAAGGAGAAACACACTCATACGGATGTGAAGCTCCTACTCGGTTGGGCGAGCGTATTCACCGCTGTCGGCACAGCATTGTACGGATGGAAAGTCGAGTTTGAGCAGGCGAAGCCGCTCGTATGGATTGGTGTAATCTTGTAAGTGTCCAGTCTTAATGTCTCATATGGCGTGTATCAACCCCCTAATCGCGTGCGTGCCTTCTTGCAGATATGTAATCCTCACCTCCGCGTCGACTCTTTACTCATTCTTCATCGAAAAAGACACCGTCTTCGTCGGTCGTCGTCGTACACTCGCAAAGCGCGTTGAGACAGAGCACATCACTGTCTCAGCTCGTACCCTCCCTTCCGTTGCACCGGGCTCCGCGCCGCGTTATCGCGCGTCTGTCTCCTATGTCCGTTCGTCAAACGGCGGCAAGTCACTCTTGGGCCGTGGACAAGCGATAGAGGACCGTCCGTACAACGAATTCTTCGATGAGGAAGGGACGATGGACCAGGAGCGGTTCGAGCGCTGGTTGGGCACGTTGGTTGAGCGTGTCATGGATGGTCGATGATGATGACATCTTTCTCTTCTTTATTTTTGTTTCTGTTGTGAGGTCTGTTTGGACATCCACCTATGCACTCCCTTTCTTTCATTTCATTCGTGTTATACACTCCGTATATACTTTCGTGTCCCTACACGGCCTGCAATTTGTAAAAAGCCAAAAAATGCCGGCATCTTTCCGCTGTGCGCTGGTTTCGGGTGACTTGTTATTGGCCGGTGTGTTTGTATTTATTTGATGATTACGTACGTAAATAATAAATAAAGAAATTGAAATAAAAATAAAATAAAGAAATTGCACGTGCTCCTGAATATCAATTGAATTGATCATGAATTTCCGCGACGCGTCTTTGGGTGCTCTTCTTCTGCGCCCGTGGCTCTCACAAGTCTTATCCGCTCACAAATATCCTATTGCTAATCAAATCAAAAATCTATCTTGTCTCGTACCACAATCTAGCGCTAGCAGATCGCCTGATCGCGTTTTGGATTTTATTTCTAAGCAAGGAACACGTATCTGCTATATAAATATAAGTTTACTTCCGGTTTGTGATGTCTGGATCTTTCAAACCGCGAAATAAAGGGAGCAACATGTCTTCGGATGCTCAGAAGAAGAGCGCGGCTACGAATGGTGGAGTTGGTGCTTGGGTACAGAAATGGCTTGTACGATTAGGTGTACTTGCGTTCTTCGTACTTGCTGGGAGGTATCTTGATTCTATCCGGGTGAGTTTTCTCGTTTGATTTCCTCGAAACGAAACAGTTTTTGGTGTCTGATAATTTCTTGTTCGGATGGGATTATGATGGTTGTGTTGTGTAGCACCAATTCTACGTCTTCGACCCCGTATTCATCAACGCAGTCGCTAATTCCGCCGTATCCACACACGGAGACAACATGACCCTCATAATCCAACACATCGTCTCAAACCTAACCACCGAATATCCTCAACTTCCACACATCTCCTCCGGTCGGGGCGGTAAATCCCTTGCACTCAATTCCCGTACAGACGAATGGGTATTTAGCAACGCCGGGGGAGCGATGGGCGCGATGTACATCATCCACGCGAGTATTACTGAGTATCTTATTGTTTTTGGTACGCCGTTGGGTACGGAGGGACATTCGGGGTTACATCCCTCGGATGATTATTTTAATATCTTGCATGGAGAGCAGTGGGCTTTTAAACCTGGAGCGTTGGAGATGGAGGTGTATAGACCGGGTGACGTACATCATTTGAAGAGAGGGGAGGTGAAGCAGTATAAGATGCATAGAGGGTGTTTCGCGCTTGAACTTGCTCAGGGTGGGTTGTTTTCTGCGTTTATCTGAGTCCGACTATCTTGATGGTTACTGATGACGATGATTGTTGTTGTTGTAGGCTGGATCCCGTTGATGCTCCCGTTTGGCTTGGCAGATGTCTTCACGTCGACACTCGACCTGCCGACGTTCTACGAAACGGCGCGTATCACTGCCCGTGAGATGTTTAACAACCTCCGTGTTGGGAAGATCTAGCGACGATTTGGAGTTTGGAGGATATTTTGGATATATTTTCACATAACTGCAACCACATTACATGAGTAACTGACTATCGACCATGATGCTGTGAATTTGTTATAATTTGCTTGGTTGATTTATTCATACCCACAGCTTGTTTGGATGTTATATTATTAGTCTGATTTTATCGTACAAGTGTTGCTTGAGGAGATATTCATGTAGAGACGCCCAAACTAACTAGCTACCAATTTGATGCCGTGAATCGTTGATTCCCACAGCTACTGTGCTTTTTACTGTAATATATAAGGTTTTATTGTTTTTTCTTTTACGTTGGAGGTGAATGGTGGTACTAATACTATTGCACGATATAAAATCGGAATAACGATAAACTCGGCCCAACCATCTCACATATTCTCCTCAGTATGCACAAGAAATTTACAAGCAAAAAACAGATAAGAAAAATAAAGGCACACAGCGCCAATCAAGAAACCGCCACTCTCAACTCGCAACAATCCATCAAACTCGAAAGCATTCCACATGTTAACCACCATCTGACAAATTCAGCAGCGCCACCGCCGCATCACTTCCCAGTAACCCGATCGCACGCCGCCTTGATTCGATCGCCGTGTGCCATTTGACCGATCGCTTAGAGGCTGGAGAACATCATTAGCGCAGAACCGGCTAGGATTGCACCGAAGCCGACGACGACGACGGTGGAGGGTGTGTTAAGTATGATGTCTGTGGGACCGTCCCAGCCTGGTGCGATTGTGAGAACTGCGTTGGTGAATGTCTTGTTACATGCACCCGCATATTCTGTATAATTAAATCAAACAAATGTGATTATGCGTCAGGATATCATCATATCGTAAGAAAGAGCGTGACAAGACATGGATAGATGGGTGATGGATGATGGATGATAGGGAACGACGGTTGGGACGTACGAGAGAGAGCCACGTTAGAACCGATACGCGGATCAGGAGCTTTCTCGTTTCGTGCGACAAGGAAGTTAAACATGCATTGTTCGCATTGCGCCAACGCGGATGCCACGTCGTTCGTGCATACGCAAGAGTCATCAGCGCAATTCTGTACCGCGTAACCAATTCACCAGTACAACATCGTTTCGCCATCAAAGGAAACGCAGATGTCAGACGATGCAATCACGTTGAGGTTAGAGGTGAACGAGACGTACGACAATAGTCGAGTTTATAGTTGAGCAGTTTGTCGTACAAGCATCGAGATATGGTCCTGAGGGAATCTGGAGAAGCTGTTGAACAGTGACATTCATCGTCATTCCTGGAAGCGAGAAATTCAGGGCCGCGACTGTCCAGCAGGGTCCGAATTAACGATGACGGCACAAGGGTCATTTATGCAATGAGCTTCTTCACCGAAGATATAAAGAAAGGAAAGTTGGACGTACCACGACCAGCGAGCGCAAGCGCAGAGACACACAGAACGAACGCGCGGAACATGTCGATTTTGATACTTATTCTTACGAGTAGAACTTTCGGAGATAGATGATTGAAATGGTGCAGAGAGGGAAGAGACGGTTAAAGAAGAAAGTGAATGGAATGAGTGTCTACCAGAGACGTTGAATGCGAAGAAAGACGAGAAAGAGGGATGAAGAAGGGAGAGGGTGGAGGATGGGAACAAGCCTGTAGTCGCGACTGTTAAGGCGATTGACGGCCACGCCGGACGTCGGTTGTCTTGGTAGCCGACCGTCATATTAGTCATCAGCCGTCGGTGTATCCCTTTTTAAGACGGTGTTTCTCTGTTTGCAGCCAAATTGTCCAGAATTCTTGCAACATTAAAAGCAGAGCGGTGCTCAAGTGAAATTGACTGTTGCTATTCTCACCTCTAAAAGGAAGATAATTCTCTCCCGCTGATTTTCTACAAAGATACAACCACTACTTTTTTTATAAAAAATAAGAGGCTGTGATTTGGATCATTGATGCACAGATTCATAGAGTTCATCGCCTTTTCTCGTGTTTACAGCCCACTTCGTCCTCTTCAACCATGAACACCTATGATACACTGTCATTACCCAAAAGTATGGCTGAAAATCCTGATGATATGCTCCAAAGGACACTGAGACGTCATCATAATCGCGATATAACACGTTTCATGACGTATGATAACAGTCAACCACGAGGTGGAGGTGGATACAGCAACGTTTTCGTTGGAACGTTTTCTGTCTCTCCCGATAGAATACAAAAGACTACTGTACCACAGAAGTGTGTGAAAGTTGCTGTCAAGCGATTCTGCATATTTATTCAGAAGGATCCAAGCTTTGAAAGAGTTTGTTGGTGTGCATTTGCTGTACTCAATCGTCTTGCAAACTAACAGCTAAATTTCCAGATCCTTGCTAAAGAAATGTATGTGTGGTCTACACTGTACCACAGAAATGTTCTTCCATTTTTGGGGTTTGTGTTAGAGGGAAACTACCCTCTACTCATTGCTTGGTGGGTGGAAAATGGAACATTGGGAGATTACCTAAGGAAGCAAATTAAATTCGACATCAAAGGGATGGTCAGTTTCTCCTCACAGACTCTCTTTTTCAGAAAGACTGACCAGGGTGAGTGCCTCATCTTAGGTTCTAGGATTAGCTAGTGGTCTTGGCTATCTGCATATGTCTAATGTGATACACTCTGATCTTAAGGCAGTAAGCAGACCACTTTCTATCTTAATATAAACTACCTGACAATGCCCCAGGATAATGTATTAATTGAACACTTGTAAAAGGGTCAGAACAAAGGAAAGAGATTGACACAACAGTAAGTACTAATGCTCAAAACATAGGAGAGTTGTAGGGTGGTAATGGGTAGTCTTGATCTGATGTTAGTAACAGTATAGAGGGGACCCAAAGGCTTAGCAAGGGGACCCAGGCTACAACTATCCTACACAACAGAAATACAGAATGTAAGCACCAGAACATAGTTGGAACTTGTGGAACAGGCAGAGAGAGAGAGTGAGACAAGAGTAGAGTATATAGAATGAGCCTAAGAGTACAGGACTACCTGGAGTAGACAAGATCAAGACTACAGGACCAGTCTGATCTTGTATGCTTATATATACTAAACTACACAAGAGCACTCAGGGAGTATGAGCCACTAAGAATGATAAGCCACAAAGAATGAAAGAAAGGAATGTCAAAGATAAAGGTACAAAGAATGAAGGGATAGACAAAGGGTAAGAAACTATAGAATGAACAGAGAATGAAGGAGTGGTCAAAGGAATGGAATGATAAAGTAAGGAAGGGTAGTAGTAAGAGTCAGCATGCATATAGTCCATAGACAGTGCCTCTGAGGGACAGAAGTCCTGAGTTCCAGTACAGAGGGGTGCAGAACCCTCAGAACTGAAGGTAAGAGAGCAGAGAATTGTAACAATCTTGTTGTTCTGTTTTGATTTCCAAATGTAAAGCTAGCAAACTTTGTTGCAGCATCAACCTTGTGAGAAATGCTGAAGTCACAAATTAGCAGATTTCCCATTTTTAAATTTTAAACTTTCTAAACCCTTTTAAACTTTTACCACCCTTCTTCTATTCATTACCCCTTTTAGTTTAGTGTTGACTCCTTTGTAGTGTAAACATGGACCCTACTATACTAACTGCCACCTCTGCTGTCCTGCCAGATCAGCAGTTACAAGCAGAGCTAGCTCAATATGTGTAGACCTCTATCTAAGAGGCCTTTACCAACCATATGCTCCCAGCCCCTTCAGAACCCATTCTGATTGTTCTAGAAGTTGCAACCTGTTCTGGAAAGAAAGTACATGTAGCCTACCCTTTAGACTTTAATAGGTAGCACTTTGAGGACTTCTAGTGCCAAGTCAAACTATATGTAGCTACTACTTCAACCAATCTATCCTCAGATCTCAATTGTGTCCTATTCATCCTCTCCTTCATAAAGGAAGGCAATACAGCCACCTGGGCTCAGAACTGGATTAAAGGCTATTAGATTGGAAGTCTGATCCAACTTCAGAACAATGAGTCATACTCAGAATTTATAGGGCAGCTCTGTACTTCCTTCATTAATCTGAATAAGAAGTGTAATGTGTAGAACAAGCTTGTCTCTCTGTAACAAGGCAAACATTCTGCTAATGCCTTCTTTCAGGAGTTCAATATCCTGGCCTGGAAGGCAGGATTCACACTCAGGTTTGATGATGTCCTCATCAGAATACTTGAAAAAGCTCTTCACCCAGAACTGGTTGATAAGATTCTTAGAATGATACTAGAACTAGTCACTTACACCAAGTAGAAGATGTACACCATCTCCTTTAACTAAGCTGTAGCTTGAATGTGTCAAGTCTGTACAGAACACCTGTACATGTGTCTAGCTCTGACAGTTCTGAGCCCTTAGATTAATCTGCCTGTAATTTGTAATCAATCTGTTCTGATAGACATTAGAGAAGCCTAGAAGTGAGGAGTATACTTTGCCTACAGAAAGTCAGGGCACTAAATTAAGGACTGTCTGTAGAAGCAACAGTATATCTGTCAGGTCATTAGAGTAATAATGAGTGACAAGCAGGATTTATAGTAAGAAGCCTTTTCTGCAAATCTGAAAGTCACCTCAGAACTCCTAGACTCTGACTATGTACTCTAGGATTTTGTAGAGGCCTAACAGTGAATGTAGTACTGAAGAGCTATGACTTGGATTTTTTAATGGCCACTTTTGATTCAATAGACACTATAGGATTAGAAGTAAATAAAGTAAGAAAAGTAGAAAAAGTAGAAAAAGTAGAAAAAATAAATTAACAAAATTATTTATTAGAAAGAAAAAAGTCAAAAACAAAAGTAGATAGTTCTCCTATTTCTTCTAATTCTTTTGATTCTTCTCTTCACACTTTATCCAAGTCTAAATCTGTACAATCTGACCTGCTACTTCTGTGTTCTAAGATCTTAGAACATTCAGAATGTTACCTAGCCCTGTTTACTACTCAGTAGTTTGTCTGTAGTATTAAGCAGGGATGGTCTCAGCTGAGTTTACAGCTGAGAACATGGGTCTGTCCTTGTTGAAAGAGAGAGGTTAATAAGGAAATGTTAGTGTATATACTTACCCTCTCAGACAATAAGGCTGTACAAGCTGTATGTTCCCTTCAGAACAAGTAGCAGTTCATCTGAGAATGTTCTAAACACTAGCTCTAGGTCCCTGTCCTCTTGGCTTCCTTCTCAGGATCCTGCCAGATTCAAACAATAGCTCTAGTAGACAGTAGATGTACTGGTTTGTACATTAATAAGGCCTTTGTACAGGAACACCACCTCCCTACTTGACACATTCTACTTCCAATTCTAGTATACAATGTGGACAGAACCCTGAACCAGAATAGTCAGATTACTGAGTTTGTCCAACTACAGATGACCATTCAGGATTATAAGGAAAGTATTGAGTTTAGAGTCACCAACCTTAGAAAGACAGACATTTTCATTAGATTCAAATGGCTCAAGACTCACAACCCTACTATTGACTGGTTGGAGTAGACACTTGTGTTCAATCAGTGTCCCAAGTCTTGTGACTACCTTATACTACTGTTCTGAGTAGATACAGACACTTCCAATGTTATCAACAGTTCTGATGAAGGTGACCAGTTGTTCTTCTTCAACTAGGATAGATATGTGAATACATATTCTAGTTAAGGCAGAATAGAGTTGTTCTGAGAGGGTTCCAGACTGGTTCTGTCTCAGATATCCTTTAGATCAACTCTACTCTGGAACACACACAGACCCAGCCTGCCAGATTTCATCTGAGAGTTCCCTAAAGTCTTTAGTGAAGAGGAATTCAACCAGCTTCCTGAACACTGTCCCTAGGACTATGTAATTGAATTGACTAAGGGTTTCTAACCTAAGGATTGTAAGGTCTACCTACTCAACAGAGACAAGCAGGAGGTGCTTGACAAGTTCCTTCAGGAAAATCTTCAGAACAGCTGGATCCAACCCTTAAAGTCCCCTATGGCCTCCCCTTTCTTCTTTGTCAAAAAGAAAGATAGGAAGCTCTACCTAGTCCAGGATTATTGTTGTCTTAATGAGGGTACTGTCAAAAACAAGTACCTGCTTCCCCTGATTCAGGAGCTCATTAATAAGACACATACATCCAGGGTTTTCACTAAGTTGGATGTTTGATAGGAATACAATAATATTTGGATCCAAGACAGAGATGAGTAGAAGGCTGTATTCTGAACTAATTGTAGATTGTACAAACCAACTGTAATGTTCTTCAGACTAACCAACTTGCCTACAATGTTCTAGTCATTCATGAATCACATCCTTACAGATCTGATTGACTTAGAACACATTAGTGTGTATCTGGATAACATTCTGATCTTCACCCAGACAGTTGAGTACTATTACTGACTGATTCAAGCAGTTCTACAACAGCTCTGAGATAATAAACTGTTTCTCTAAGAAGTAAAGTACTCTTTTGTACAGGAGTCAGTAGATTATCTAAGCTTTGTAATTGGTGGAGGAGAGGTCTGTATGGATCTGGCAAAGGTAACTACAGTTCAGAACTGGCTACAACCTTAGAACCTGAAACAGGTCTAAGTGTTCCTTAGGTTTGCAAACTACTACTAATACTTTATTCAAGGCTTTAGTACTATTGTCTGGCCCCTTTACAATCTTACTAGCAAAGATGTTCCTTAGTAATAGGAGGATTAGTAACAGTCTGTATTTGAGTCCCTGAAGCAAGCTATCACTAGCAAGCTCATATTAGCAGTTCTAACAGTTGTAGACAAGTTTTAAGTCAAAGCTGACTCTTCCAACTTTGTAAATAGAGTAGTACTGTCCTAGTTTATTGACAGAAAGTAGTGTCTGATAGTGTTCTGATCAGAATCCCTCTCTATAACAGAACAGAACTACCCTATCTATAACAAGGAACTCCTCACAATTGTCTGTTCCCTGGAAGAGTAGTGTTAATATCTCCTTAGTACTGTACAGAAGTTTAAGATTTAGAGTAATCACCTTAATCTCCAATACTTCCAGGCACCCTAGAAGCTCAACTGCCACCAAGCCTGCTGGATGTTAGAACTGTAGGACTTTGACTTTGTACTGACCCACAAACCTAGAACACAAATAATGAAAGCTGATTTACTCTCAAGACAAGTAGGTTATGAAAGGGGGGAGAATGATAACAAAAATCTTGTTCTCCTAGACAATTCCTGTTTTGCATCCAAGACAATCTAAGAGATCTGACTTGAATCCAAGAATGTTGACTTTGTCACCCACATACAGTAAGCTCTGAGACACATACAGGACTAGGTTGTAGTAAAGCAGCTAGAGAAGCAGGCAAGGGATTAGGAGGAGGATAAGGATGGATAGGTTTACTAGGAAGGCTGACTGTACATTCTGAAGGATTGGAAGCTGTAGGAGGACATTGTCTGAGCTCATCACAACAATCTGACTGTAGGACATTCAGGCTGACACAAAATACAGGAACTCATTACTCAGAACTACTAGTGGCCCAGAATGTAGAGGGAAATTCTAAAGTATGTAACTGGTTGTAATACATACTAACAGACTAAGGCCCACCAGACAAGGGTTCAGGCTCTCCTACATCTGTATCAGATCCTAGATCACTCTTAGGAAGAAGTCTTAGTAGACCTGATTAGTGAACTACCTGAGTCTCAGAGTTACAACACTATCTGTGTAATTGTTGACTGATTCTCTAAGCAAGTTCATACAGTTCTGACCCAAACAGAACTCACTTCTAAAGGTATGGTGCACATTTATTAGGATCACATCTTCTGGTTACACAGACTCCCTCAGAAGCTCATTCATAATTATAGACTGTAATTTGAGTCAAAATTCATGTAAGACTTATATGTGCTTCTCAGAATTCAAGGGAACCCTTCTACTACCTATCACCTACAGACTAACAGTCAAACTGAGTGAGTCAATCAGGAGATTGAGCTCTACCTCCAGATGTTTATCAATCATCAGTAATCAGATTAGTCTGAATGGCTAGCTCTGACAGAATTTGTGCATAATAACTAGTAACACTCTATAACAGGACAATCCCTGTTCTTCCTCAATCATAGGAGACATCTGTACCAGGGGACAGTTCTAAACCAGAATAGCAGTTCTGAATCTGTAACAGACTTTGTAGAACAGATACACAGAACCAGGGAGGATGTATAAGCTCTTTTGGAAAAGGCAGTATAGGTTATAAAACAGAACTATGATTGGAAGAGGTCTGTAGCCAAGGATTACCAGCCTAGTAACAAAGTTATGCTGGAAGCTACTAACCTGACCACAGATTGCCTAATGAAGAAGTTGGACAATAAGTGCTTCAGACCCTTTGTTATTGAAAAGAAGGTTGGTGCCTCTGTCTACAAACTCTAACTTCTGACAACATAGAAGCACATACACCCAGTGTTCAACAAGGTTCTACTGTCTTAGTACTACAATCCAGGTTTTCCTTTACAACAAAGACCCCCACCACCTCTACCAGAACTCATTGGTTCTAAACCAGAATACAAAGTAGAGTACATAGTAGATACTAAGCTACTGTACAGAAAACTCAAATTCCTTGTTCACTAGAAAGGGTACTCAGTTGAGGAGTGTACTTGGGAACCTGCTAAGAACCTCACCCATACTCCTAAAGCAATTCAAGACTTCTATCAGCTTCATCCTAGTACTCTGTACAAACTCAGCCTTACAGATTTCCAAGCCTTACCATTCTGACCTATGCCTGAGCTACTGACTGAGCCTAATGTTCACCAATCAGGATGATTGGTTTTAGAGGGGGGGTGATGTTACAATTCTCTACTCTCTTACCTTCAGTTCTAAGGGTTCTACACCCCTCTGTACTAGAACTCAGGACTTCTGTCCCTTAGAGGCACTGTCTATAGACTATATGTGTGCTGACTCTTACTACTACCCTTCCTTACTTCATCATTCCATTCCTTTGACCACTCCTTCATTCTCTGTTCATTCTATGGTTTCTTACCCTTTGTCTATCCCTTCATTCTTTGTACCTTTATCTTTGACATTCCTTTCTTTCATTCTTCATAACTTATCATTCTTAGTAGCTCATGCTCCCTGAGTGCTCTTGTATAGTTTAGTATATATAGGTATACAAGATCAGACTGGTCCTGTAGTCTTGATCTTGTCTACTCTAGGTAGTCCTGTACTCTTAGGCTCATTCTATATACTCTACTCTTGTCTCACTCTCTCTCTCTGCCTGTTCTGCAAGTTCTGACTACATTCTAGTACTTGCATTCTGTATTTCTGTTGTGTAGGATAGTTGTAGCCTGGGTCCCCTTGCTGAGCCTTTGGGTCCCCTCTATACTGTTGCTGACAAAGATGGATGGCACACAAACTCTTTGATGAAGAAGGTGATAAGCATTATACAAAAGAATCAGATGTATGGGCATTTGGAATGACAATATTCATATGTTAGCTACTTTCACCCTCAAATATTAGGTGACTTCAATTAATTGGCAGGAGCACTTGTAGGACAGTTGGAAAATTTTGGGGTGGCTCAGCAAAGTGGACATACCTTAATATATACTAAATAGAGATGTAAATCTGTACAACTCTCTACAAGTGTCTGCAAGTGCTCAAACCCACTTGTTAGCACTTACAAATGTGTCAGAGTTTGAAATAAAGAAATGTCTGACTACAACCTAACAAAAATCATGAGTAACATGACATAGGCATTAAATGTCAATCTCTGCAAGTCCAGCTCTTCAATTTTGAGAGACTTGCATAACTCTTGGCATCTTAACTCTAAATTGCCAAAGCCCTTCTACAAGTGTCTCTGCCAATTAATTGAAGTTGCCTATTGTGGTTGAAACTGTGTCAATTTGGCAGGAAATTCTTACTCAACAGAAGCCTTACAGTTTATGTAATACCGATCTGCACGTGATGCGTGCCATTATGAATGGTCACATGGGGCATTTCACAATTCCTTACCTTAAAAAATA